ACCGCCGCGACGATCTCCCCCCCCCCCTTCTCTTGAGGAGGGCCATAGCTGGACATGGACGTCGACGTCCTCACCGAGGTCCTTATCCGCGTCTGTGTTGAGGTGATTGGGGTTGGCCTTGGCGTGGAGGAAACGCCACACGACGGCCCCCCCCGCGACCTCGACGACGCCGTCGAGGCATTGGCGCGGGTGTTGAACCCAATCCCGGTGAAGCCCCGACCCCGTACTAACCCCAAAGGCCTCCTGAAGGTCGCGCAGGGGACTCCCCGCCCCTTGGGCCTCCTTCCCACGACGCGGATGACACCGCAAAGGAGAAGGTGCACCCTGGGAATATGCACCGTCCTGGAGGTGAGGATTTGGGTAGTCGTTCGTGCTGCTGGGGTCTTCCGCAGAGGTGTTTTGTCGTCGCCGCGCGTCGGCCGCCTTTACGGCGTCAAGGACGGTGCGGAATGGGTGAGTCCGCTCGCCTTTGCCGGCCCGCGGGGGTAGTTCGCCGAACAAGTCGACGTAGGCCTGCGCCCGCCGTAGGGAAAGAGGGGGCAGGAGATCCCCGACGTAGAAAGGTGTCCCTGGCACCGAAAAATGCATTGACCAACCCCTTTTCTTAAAGTTTGGATAAACCATTTTTTTATTGAAGAAATAAAGAATAATTATAAAAGGGTTGCCCCTTTTTCACCCCTGTCTGGTGTGGAACATATGCGTCATTTAGACATGTAGTTTATCTTTTGCGTCGAACTTTTAAAAAAATTAACCGTTCCTGTGTCTATTTTTTTCATTCCCATTTGTAGGTAGTGGAAAGTAGGATCTAAATCAAGATGTAATGCAAACAATATAGTTTGATGTATGAAACGAGAAAATTCAGTACGAAATAGAGCTATGGGCAACCCATGAACTATCGACTCGTGTGTGCCATCTATAATGTGGATTTTTTTTGCACTGTATTTAATTTCTAATTTTGCTAATCCATTCTATAAGACCTCTAGGCATTTTCGACGCCGGTGTAAAATATCTAGGGCCTCGAGTCCATCGCTTAGTGTTTTCATGTAAAGCTCCCACTGCTGGCTATCCCGTCTTTCAGGGGGCTTATGCGATAGAAGCTCCTTCATATGGTGCCGTAAACGGCGCTCCCGACGGCGCAAAGGCGACATATCAGCGGTAGGCTTTGATACCTCGGACATTATGAACTGAGTTTCAACTGAGCTACCCGAATCACGCAAATCACGGACCGTATCTACTCTATCATAGAACAACCTAGTAGGGGACTTCTGGGATTGATTAGTATCCCAGCTATTTCTTTTATCCTCACAGACTTTCTTTGGAAGTGTTTGTGGCCATAGGGACAGGGAGGACCGTGGCACGCTGGACCCTCTTTTGCCATGGAATAACTCATGCATGCTATCCAAACGCGGCGTCGCGGAGTACGCTCTCCGAGAGCCGAGTCTGACAGGGACAAAACTTCCAGAGGTCCACTTCGAGCCTTTACCAGTCGATCGCCTTGTCTCCTCTGGAATGGGGACCAAAGGATGAGAGGACAGAAGCCCAGGGCCAGCAAGGACGTATCCATTATGATAGCGGCAGTCCCCAAAAAGGTCATTCAGCGCATACTCGTGCGAACGAGGCCAACGAAGGGGCTGGCCATCGGCGTCCACCAGAATGCGGTTGTATTGGGCCCGGCAAACGGCGCAGTAGGGGTTAAATCGTCCACAACTTAGCCTTCGCGATCCTGGTGTAAGCCGCAAATGATGGCCCCAGGGCGGGGCTGAGGCCCCACGTCCACGTTTGCCATCTCGATGGGAAGCCGCGAGGAAAAGATCCTGCGGGATCCTCTCACGGTAGTCAGTGGAGGGACGTGAGGGTGCGAGAATGAACTGATTGTGATGTCTGACATCAGAAGCTGCACTGAGTGGGGTATCCTCGCTCACTTTGGGCTGGGCCTCGCTTCCAGAGCTCCTCAACAGAGAATAGTTCGGACCATTCTGGCCGTTGGCCCTGGGCGAGTTGGATTTAATAACGTTTGCCTCTTTGTCGTTGAGGGATCGTGAATGGGCTGCCGCAGTCGAGTGCCTTAAACTTATCTTTTGATCTATAACTGTTCGATCGCCGTGCGTGTTTGATTCTTTTGGTAAAGAAGGGGACACATCATGCTGCTCAGGTGGATGGCTTTCTCGTGCAGTGGCTTGCAAAAGATGTAGGAACTTTTGAAGCATCTCCACCGCCACGGTGGTCGCCGGAAACAGCTCATCTGAGGGTTTCTTTAAGCGATCATTGTGCCTCTCGATGTTCTTATCTTTCTTTGACACCGAGCGCGCATTCCTTTTGGAGTTGAACTGAATTCCTGACCTCACAAGTCCACACTCCGTTTCAACCAAGTTTCGATTCCGACGGCGTTCCGTTTCATCTGGGGAAAAGCTAGACCTACCTGAAGCACTTTCCGCATTGTGTAGCAAACGCCCACCCAAGTAATCGGCATCGGCTTTATAAATCGCATGCTTATCCATGTGTCTTTGCTTTTCTTTAGTATCCAGATAGCGTGAAAAGGTGGAGGAGCTTGAATAACCGGTTTTTCTTCCTTTCTGATGTTGATGTCGATGCTTTGTGTTAGGGGGAGGGTATTTCAATCCTTGAGTGGTATGACGACCCAGTGATGACGAAAAGGAGGAATGGCTTTGGGAATAAATTAATTCAGTAGCATTAGATGACAGAGTAGAACTAATCGATGATGACCGCATGACGCGGCTCAAAAGGCTTTTGTGTCTACGAGAGGCGTGGAGATGACTATGTGAGAGTGATTTTATCCGTTTTTTTGAAAAAGGAGTGCCATACCTTTTTGGTGAATGTCTATCTTGATGCTTGTCTGAAGACATTACAGAATCAGAGTTCTGTGCTCGATTCTCTTCATTGTACATATGTTGAGAAGACTTATTACCACGATGGGAATGGCTTCGAGAAGCGTGCCTATGAGAGTGCATGTGCAACTTACTTCTTGATTGCTTTCTATAGGAACTAGTCCCATGGTGTTTGGATACCACTTCAGTAGTCTGTATTTCCCTCCCACAATTAGATTCATGTCGCGGGAGGGGTTCACGATCCATGCTTTTTTTGCGCCGCTCAAGCTCTTTCTTAGTTTCTCCCGCGTATCGACTTCCCGTGAGAAACCAATTGACACGAATATCTTGCACCTCTAGTTCTTGACTACTGATCCGAGAGCTCAACTTCGCTGTATTATCAATAGCGTCCTCCTCATCTGATCCTTTGCGCGAAACATCACGACGATTGTTATAGGTAAGATCTGCCAAATGTACCTTTTCAAAGGTTTTCTGGTGCGTCGAGAGAATACAAGTTTTAAACTTTTTTATTGGAACCCCTTTATCTGAGAGCATTACCAAATGACGACTGTCATACGCATTTTGACAACGACCACTGTGCAACTCTGTACCCAGTGATTGATGGACTTCGCGGTGACGCATTGTTTCGTCCGTTCCACGTCGGTCATACTTTCTCGATAGCCCTTCACTACCAGTCCTGGGTTCCTCTGTTCGACTCTCCTGTTTGTCCGCACAGTGACGGCACTCAGTCACATGCGCTGTCGCGATCTCCAAGCCAGTGGGTCTTTTCCTGCTCAAAAAGTTACTTGTATGGGAAATCGACCTGTGCCGTCTGTTACAGTCGCCCGTGCCCGCAAGGAAGCGTCGGAACATCGCCCTATACCATTGTTGCAGAGATGACCTCAGACACCCCAGCCGCTTTCGCTGCAAAAATGCCTTTAATCGGTGTCCTTCGAGATTCTGCACGGACTGAGACGGCGGGATCGGCCCCGTAGCCGTGTTAGCTGCCCTCCACAAAGCCGTGTTGGGGGTCCCCAGGCGTGAGATACTTGGCCTGGGGTGGAGGTACCGTAGGGGATGACAATGGGCCGTCGAGGAGGTCGAACGGGGGGTCGTGCAGACGATGGCAGGCCCTGTCGCCAAAGGCTCCCACCCCACTGCGCTATCAACCAACGTGAGTGAGGGACAGGGTGGGACGGACGGGGAAATGGCCCTGGGGTCGAAGTTCCCCCGTTGAACCTCAGCGGGATTCGAGATGGTGACCTCATGGACGGCACTTTTTGACTCCGTATCGATTGTTGAACAGCGATGGGAGTGAAATAACGGTAGAGGCATGGTTTTTATAGCATTAGTATCAACAAGGATGGAGTTCCCAACTTTGTTGTCTTCCTGTGACACCAAAGATGCATTACATATATTCGGCTCAGTTGGCCTTCTGGATCTAGGCTTAGATGAAAACACATAGGAAGGCTGAAGAACAGGGAACGTGTCAGAACCAGTAGGGTTATTTTCTGGATGATGCACGTCGGTGCTAGGTGAGTTCGCGTCGACCCGATTTAATGCAACGACATCTACAATACCTTTCGGATATTCCATGAAGTATGAATATATATATATATATATATATATATATATATATATATAG